AAAGGGGAAACGTGGTGGCAGCGGTGGTGGCAGCGGGGGGAGGGATGAATGAGGAGTTTGGGATTAACATATACACAGTATTATATATAAAACAGATAATCGACAACGACCTATTGTATAGCACAGGGAATCTACTCAATATTCTTTAATAACCTCTCGGGAAAAGAATCTGAAAAAGAACAGATATATGCATAGGTATAACTGAATCATTTGGCTGTATACTTGAAACTAACACAACATTGTAAATCACCTATACTCCAATATAAAATAAAAATTAAAAATAAATAGGAAAAACTCTAAAGCTTTAAGTTACCAAAAATCTGGAGAAACTGTTTTAAATCCATATACCCAAAGCATAATTATTCCTAAAGGGTTCACCTGAAAACTCTTATTTTCCTTTATAATTTATGAAAATATCATCATACCAAGTTAATTTTTTTGCTGACAAACTCTGCAACAGAAATAACATGAACTTATTAACCTTCAGTGAACCTTGGTACACTGAAGGTGTACCAAGTAAAATATGTCTGTATTGACTGATTAAACCAGCAAGCTGAAGCTAGCTTTAATACCAGATATTAATTTAATATTGAATATTTCCTAGATACATGAACCTGAAATTCATTCTGGCCAGTTTCTTTTATGTTTAGAAGTATTTAATTTGTAAGCACTTACTTTTAAGTCAATTAAATGGAACTCTTTTATAAATTTAATTTTAACAGTATTTTCCGGAGGTAGAGACATCTCATATGTATAATATGTACACAGACATATAAACAGACCTAACTAGAGATCTCATAGCTTCACCTTAAAAACTTAGTTATGAACCAGGTATTACAGTTTAAACTTACTAGTTTATAAATAACAGTTGGAATAAGTTAAATTTGCTTGCTCAGATGACTAAGGCTTTGCTATTTGTGGAAAAGACTTTTAAGATTTGTATTTATCCTTGATAAACCCTTAAGGAGGCTATGAATCAGATTTGGGGTGAGGGAGCCTTTCCAGCAGTTTGAGTTTAAAAGGACTTTTTTGCTTTTTTTTTTTCCTCCTTGGTTTCAGGTTTTACCTGATTGAGCTAATCAGGCTCAGTCTCAGATCAATGTGGGCTGTATTTACATTTCTTATTTGCATAGATTTGCAAAACAAAGACAGTTGCTTTTAATTCTCAAAAAAACTGGTCTGCTGCCTAAATGATATTAAAAGATTGATTTGCCCAACTGTACTTTGTTTAATTTGCTTTTTTATATCAGTGAGAAGATTTCTGACTAAGCCAAAATTCAAGAGTTCTATGTTCTAGAATTTTAGGATTTAATTTATCATGCTTTCAAAAGCTTGCATAAGGCATTCAACAAAGGTCCTTTTTCTGAGTGCACAGGTGAGACCCAGAGCAAAATCTCTATTATTATTTTTATTAGCCCCTGAATATTGCTCCCAGTTTTTACATTATATTATACAGGCTCAGGTGACCCTACTGGTTTCCTCTTGTATGTTTAATAATATTTCCTGAGGGGCAGATTCATACGCTCTGTCTTATGAAGCATTCCCCAGTGAAACATGTATATCACACAACATAATTAAACAAAAGAGAAATAACCATCTTATATAAAGCCCGTTTAGGTATACCAATTTTTATAAACTTTCATCTCGATTCTATCAACTTTTATACCTTTACCTTTATATTCCATTAGGACCCAATCATCAAGCCTTGGCCTTTCAAGGAGTCCTAGAAGCTTTCCTTTCTTTTTATCCTCTGACTCTTTTATCTATTTTTAATAAAAGGCTCTGGGGTCCCCAGTGAGGGGTTGAGCCAAGGGACTCAGGCCCTTTTGTCAATCTTTTACTTGATTAATCGGCCTAACTGTTGCCCCAAGTAATTGTTGGCCAGGTATCTCAGTGTAATTTACTTCCAGCCATTTAAATATATATGTATACTTTAAAATATTTATTTATTTATTTTGCCTGCACTGGGTTTTAGTTGTGGCATGTGGGCTTCTTAGTTGCAGCACATGGACTCTTAGTTGTGGCATGCATGTGGGATCTAGTTCCCCAACCAGGGGTCGAACCTGGGCCCCCTGCATTGGGAACACGGAGTCTTACCCACTGGACCACCAGGGAAGTCCCTAAATATATATATTTTTTTAAGTGGGGTAAATAGAGTGGACTTGTTTGGGGCCCTTTAATGTTGGGGACCTATAGGGGGCCCCTTTGTTCCATCCAGCCTTATGTGATGTTGTATCAAACCTTTGTTTTAATTCCATTAACATCCATTTTATTTATCCCATTTTTAAATAATCATCTAAAGATTTCTTTATCCTTTTGGGATAAGTCCCTTTAAAATTTCCACCTTTTGGGGAAGAAGTCTCTAAACTTTCTCTTCAGTTTACTTCCCTGTTAATCAACCTAATTAACATGAATTATCCTAATGTTTTTATTAACATCTGTAAGACTGAGGGGAAGCAGAGACCACAAATAAGTCTTCCCAAACCAGTTTTTTGTTGTTGTTGTTTTCAATTAAGGGAGTTCTTAGGTTAACCGTATATATGTTTTCCACCTTCTAAGTTTTTTTCTTATAAGTACCAGTAACACAGCTCTTTTAAAATTTACCAATTTAGAAGTTTCTCCAATATAAAGGATCCATCATGTGGCCATTAGTAAGATGTATCTTATTGATGCAAACCAATAAGACACCAGAGAAGTCCCCACAACAGAGTGTGAAGATGTAGCCTTCACAAAATCTAGAAAGTTTACTCCCCAAAATAGCCTAAGAAAGTAAAGGCCTTCATTGCACAGGCCGATGCAAGGAAGGTTAAGAGGGCTAAAGCCCCTGAGAGTTGGCACAGTCAGAAAAAAGACTGCTCAGAATCCCAGTCTATTCGGTTGGCTGCCGAATTGTATACCATATGTGTACCTTCCAGATGGCAAAGACCAAGTACTCAAAACACAGAAACAGACATATACACATACATACACACAAAATGCCTAAGAAAATCAGGTAGAATATTTACATCTCAAAGACACAGGGAGAGAAATGCAAGTTCCCCCTAGAAGGGCTTTTGTTTCTTTAAGGTCAGAATTCTGAAAAGATGTTTTATCAAGCAGGCTTTCTCTAACTTAACTGTGTATGCAATAGAAGAGCCCCATCTTAGTCATTTTCAGGGCAAGATTTCCTTTAATTCCCAATTAAGTAAGTACTTGTAAGTATACGTGTTGTACATCTATCTGGCTGGGGTATTAGTTAGAAGCTGGCAATCTGTCGTTCCTTTTTCTTTTTGTTTTGAAAGCTTTGTTCCCCATTCCAGAGTCAGTTTGTGGAGATAAAATCGCTAGTGATGATCCTGTAGTGAGCCGATGTACTGTTGTGAGCTTAACTCCTCTAGATTTTACCCTAGATTCATTTTAGCCCTTTTATGAGTCTTGGTTTCTCCCTTCAGTAGCCTACAACCACCCTGGGTACTCGGATTACGGAGTGGCCAGCTCTTACGCATGTCCCTGGCAGGCAAGTGTTTAATTAAAAAAGTGGGTTTCCCTTTAGGGACAGCTGCACAGTATGAGGACTTGCCTCTACCACTCCCACAAGTTTGTGTTCAGGGACACTGCACAGCCTGAGGAAGCTGTTGCCAGACAGGAGGTGATGTTCCTTCTGAGCTGAAAGCTCTCATGAAATATCTTCACTTTTATTTTGACAAACTCTATTATAAAGCAGCCAATTCAAGGAAAAACGACAGGGCAGTCTTCCACCTAATTACCCAGTCCAACCTTACTCAGTGTCTTTCAACTGAGCATAACCCAGGCACCTCTTCTTGAAACTAAGTTTCAAGGATAACCTACTACTCTTCCAGTGAGGAGTTTAACATCACTGAATAAAACTTAGGATCATCAGCCAATAACAGGAGATCTGAGAATCAGGAGAGACTCACCCAAATTCATCTGGACTCTCTGAGGTGGCAGATGGGCCCAAGAATCCTCTGCTGGTACCTAGGCTCTGGATCCTTGGAGAGTTCAGGCAAAGGAGAAAAGTCTGCTCTGGGTCCCTTTGTAGCTGTCAAAACTGTTGACTGCATAACCTAAAAGTTGAGAATTATGTTTTATTCAGCAGACATACTAAGGACCTAAGCCCGGGAGATAGCCTCTCAGATAGCTCTGAGGGACAGTTCTGAAGAGGTAAGGGAAGAACCAGGATATAAAGGAATTTTTGTAAAAACAAAACAAAACAAAGCAGATAGTCAAACGTCCGTCAAAAGATCCTAATTAAAGAAAAAAACAGACATCTCACGTTAATGAATTTAGCCCTTTTCTGTGTATGGGAAGATGCACTGAAATCATTCCTTTTGATATGCACCTTAACTGTCTAGGCCCAGTATCCTATTTTACTCCATTCTGAATCCTCTCAGGGTATACTGTTGGTGGTGGCTGCAGAGGTTGTTGGCTGGATGGCTGCAACATCCTTTGTTTACTGACCCATGTTAGGTGACCCATCAGTTCCACTCCTAGGTACATACCCAGAAGAACTGAAAACTGGTCCTCAAATGAATACATGTACACACAGGTTCCTAGCAGTACTACTCACAAGAGCCGAAAGACGGAAGCAGCCCAAATGTCCATCAACTCACAAACGAATAAACAAAATGTGGCATATCCATATGACAGACTATTATTCAGCTATAAATAGGAATGAAGCGCTAATACATGCTACAATGTGTATGAACCTTGACAACATTATGCTTAGTGAAAGAAGCCACACACACAAAAGCCCACTTATTGTATATGGGCTCTGGTACGTACCACCAGAGCCCCACCCTGACCACAGGACTACTTGTGGAAGAGAAATGAAGTCCCACAAAGGAAAATATGGGTGCTGCAAGGAAAGAGGGACACTGAAAAGGCAAAAAGTGCCAGACGTTCACTATAGAGAATATGGTCCCTCAGCCTTTCCTAAGCCTGTTCCGTCTCAGTGTTCTTTGCTTCCTTCTAACTTCATCTTGTTCCTCCCCCACCCCCAGCTCCAGAGTGGAATTGGCCGACTAATTCTGAAGGAAGAGATGAAGGCCCGGTCCAGTTCCTACGCTGATCCCTGGACCCCACCCCGGAGCTCCACCAGCAGCCGAGAGGCCCTGCACACAGCTGGCTATGATATGTCCCTAAATGGCTGTAAGCACTGCCCTGTAACCTGCCGGGGTGGGGGCACTCTCTTCCCCATCAGTTCTTCCATTAGTGAATCTAACCTTCTATGGCCTCACCAGGGTCTAGAATACAGACTAAATAACACCATGCTCCGTCCTGAGCAGTCACTTCTGCTTCTTTGGGTCATCTGAAGCCATGACTTCCAATCAGTTTCCATGTAAAGAAAAAACTCTTCTAATAGTCTGAAGATAAAACGGGATGCCTCTTGAGGTAGCAAGCCTCCCATCACTGGAGGTATACAAGCAGAGGCTTGGTTCAAGTACTTTGCCCTGAGAGTCTTTCACTGTAAGCTCCTCCCTGTTCCTGGACTCACACATCCTCTTCCTGCCTCCTGTCTTACTTACCCCTGTGGGATTCAGTCCTGCCAGGAAATCCTATCTCAGGTCAATACTTGATGGATAATAAAAGGTACCATTTATTACAATCCTGTGTGCTGTGCTGGGCATTTATAGATACATTATCACCCTTGGTCCTCACAAAGACCCACAATGTAGAGGGATTATTATCACCCACTTTATAGATGAGAGACCTGAGGTTAATCCTCTTGCCCAAGGTCAGAAAGCCAGTAAGTGACTGAGCCAGGATCAGGCCCAGCATAGAGTGACTTCAAGGCCATAAGCTTTTCCCTCTTTGCTGTACTGCACCTTGATTCTAGGTGAGCTAAAAGATGACAGTGGCGGTGGTGGTGGTGATGATGATAAAGCCAGTTTTATTGAGAGTTTGTATCTGTCGGGCACTGTGCTAAGCACCTTACTATATTGTGTCCTATATTCTTCACAATAACCCTATAAAGGAGACACTGTCCCTCCCATTTTACAGATAAGAAAACGAAGCATGGTTTACTTATCTGAAATTAGGTATCTATTAATGGCCAAGCCAGGCTGAACTGATGGGCTGTTGCCCTGTTTTCACCACTGAGAGGCACTGTTTTCAATCCCTGGCTCTGTACACTGCACCAGTGCTGCTCAAAATTCAGCTCCATTCAATGGCATTTGTGCAACAAATATCACAGAGCACCTGCACTGTGCCAGGTGCTGGGCTACAAGCCGGGTGGGGGAGGGAGGATCGGGTGCAGGTGCAACAGTTAGAAACTGACCAGTGCGAAAGGAGGTACTGAAGGAGGGCCCTCCTCCCCGCCGGCCAGGGTGGCCCAGGTGTGGGAGCCATTTCTGTCTGTCTGTCTCCATGAACGCTGATCTCTGGCTTCCCTCTCTTGCAGCCCCTCGGTCCCACTACCTGGCTGACAGCGGTATGTTCTGCCTGCCCTTCCTTCAGCCCATCATGTTCTGTGAGGGCCAGAGCTGAGTCAGCAGCAGGTCCCCCTTAGTTGTGATGACCATACAACGTGGATGTCCCAGCACAGTCCCCATCTGAAATAGTCCACCCCATGTGTTTGTCAGATAGTGGGTCTTAATCTTTGGTCCTGGAACCAGTGTTGCCATGCCCAACAGCTCCCAGAGAGAAAGAAAGAGCACACACCTCTTCCACCCACGTGGGAGCCTGTCTGTCTGAGTTCCAGCTTGACTCCAATTCCAGGACACATGGGTCCATCATAGGAGGATAGATGTGTGCAGGTTAACACCAGAAGACTCTGTGAGTGGGTACTTGGGGTGGGCCTAGAATTCTGCCAGGGTGAGGCACCCCTAAGACTGTTAGTTGTAAGCCTGGAGAGCAGTGGAAGGAGCTGGTGGTCCCTGTCTGTCCCCATTCCCACAAGTAACATTGGCCATTTGTAACCAGATGACCTCAGGGAGAGGAAACCCTGGCTTGGGGCCCCTGGTAATTGTCTTGGCTCCTTCTTTTCAGACCCCCTCATCTCCAAATCTGCCTCCCTGCCTGCCTACAGAAGAAACGGGCTGCACAGGGTAAGAGAGGTTGTTCCAGGGACATTATCCCCAAGAGGTTCACAATTCCTTTATTAGCTCAGGAGTGATGACTTAACGGGTGAAACCTGGACAGAGGCCTTGGGGCTAGAGGTGCATTAACAAAAGAGCCCCCTGTGAGAGGGGCTGGGAGCACCTAGTATCTATGGCACAATTACTCCATGCTGAGCACTTTACAAAGCACTCACTCATTATAACCCTGCAAGGTAGTTACTATCTTTAATAACTCTATTTTGTGGATGAAGATGGAGGCACAGAGGGGCTAAGTGACCTGCTTGAGCTCTCATTCCTAGTAAGTGCTGAGCCAGGATTCGAGCCTGGGCCAGCTGCCCCCGACAGCCCACACCTGACTGCTGGGTCCCACTCACCCGTTGTGGCTTGGAGCCTTCCGAGCTCTTAGATGTCCTGTGGCGTAAAACCTTCATGGAAGCTGTGAGGTGGTTTAAGGACTAAAAAGGGGATGAAAAATATGTCTTGTTGGCAAAAGGAGAGGCTCTGTGACTAGACAAGTGATGGGGGAAAGGGGAAGGACACTGAGATAGACATTTATTTACTGAGCACCTACTAAGTGTCAGGCACTGTTCCGGGTGCTGGAGGTCCTGCAGTGAATAAATTCGCTGCTCCTGTGGAGCTCACATTCTAGCTGGGGAGACACAACCAATAAGTGCATGTGTGACTTGAAGTCAGCAGTCATAAGTGCTCAGATGGAAGACAAAGCAAGGAGGCAAAGAGAGAGAAGGTCAGAGAGTGAATTTTAACAAAGGCCTGAGTGCAGGGAGGGACCTCACCTCTCCAAGACCAGCAAGAGCCACCCTAATAGAGGGAAGCACAGTGTCAGAGTCCCTGGGTGGGGAGGATGTGTGGCTGGGATGGAGTGAGCAGGGAGATGAAGCCAGACGGAGATGTCATTAGGGCCCTGTGTGCTGGTAAGGACTCAGAAGGGTTCCGGTAGGTGTGCTGCACCATCCAACTCAGATTTTTTTTTTTTTTTTTTTTGGGGGG